CATCGACCTATACTTATTGCAAGTGATGCATGGGTAAATATGATAAAGAGAATAAATCAAGTGTTTAGTTCATTTTGTTTTCTTTCGTTATATATATTTTTAGGGTAAAGAATCATCAGTTGTTATAAATGGTGAAACTGATGAAATAGCTGTTGGTGCATTAACATTAGAACTTGTTTCAATACAACCAGAAAATTTTGATCGATATTTTAATTCATTAAAACCTGATTTACCCGATGAAAGAATTCATAAGAATACAAATAATAAAAATTCAAAAATAATTTCATCACGAAATCCATGGTTTAATGAATTTTGGGAACATCGTTTTGGTTGTAGTTTAACAATATCATCAACATGTATAAATCATCAATTAAATGAAACAAATTGGGATAGTAAATTACAATTTATTGTTGATGCAACATATGTATTTGCTCATGCATTACATGAATATTTAAATTGTACATTATTCTCATGTCCACCAAGTACATCTTTAACAGATATAGACGGGAAAAAATTATTTCAATTAATCTTAGAAAAAACATTTTTTAGTAAGTTCTATTATAATATATACATATAGAAAAGAAAAAAATAGAGACACACACACATGTCGAACAGATTTTGCAATGTAATCATTGGCAAATGCTTTCTTGTAGAATCATTTCATTTTTCCTTTTTTTTCCTTTTTTGATAACGAAGCAGTTATTAGATATTACTCGATTATTTACGATTAAAAAACTATTGATCAACTACAGTCAAGGAAGAAAATCATAAAACTAGTTTGCATTTGTGATTTTCTTTTTCTTTTTTCTTGAAAAAAAAACCCACGATAGATATTCAAATCTCAAGAGAGTAATTTAAATATATTGTTTTTTACTCTAGTGCCTGATTCAAGACAAATTCAATTTAATGCTGAACGTTTCGTACCCGGTCATTATCGTATATATAATTATCGTCGATCAAATGAAATATCGTCATTATCTGATACAATTACATCTCCATATGAATATGTTTCTATTGGTGAATGGAAAATAGATCGAAATCAAAATGGTAAACTAAATCTTAATATTGATTCAATTGTATGGCCAGGTACAAATACAAATGATATATCATTATTATCATCAAAAACAATACCAATATCTCGTTGTTCTGAACCATGTCGTGTTGGTGAATTTCATCAATTTCAAGGTGATTCTTGTTGTTGGGTATGTACATCATGTAATGAAACATCAATTGTTATTGGTTTCGAAGATCAAGAACATTGTGAACCATGTCCTTTTGGTTATTGGCCAACACAAAATCGTACATCATGTTATAAATTAAAAGAAACATCTATTGAACTTTTATCAGTAATAGCACTTGTACCAATTAGTTTATCAATAATTGGTAATATTTTAACATTATATGTTGTTATATTATTTTATCAAAAACGACAAACACCTATTGTTAAAGCAAGTGGAAAAGAACTTTGTTTTATTATGCTTGGTGGTATACATTTATGTTATTTAATGACATTTCCTATAATTTTAAGACAACATATAATAACATGTATTATTCAACGTTTAGGTATTGGTTTAGCTTTTTCAATGATGTATGCTGCTTTATTAACAAAAACAAATCGTATTGCAAGAATATTTGAAAGTACAAAAAAAAAAGGTCGATTACGTCCACAATATATATCACCACGTTCTCAAGTAGCTATTTGTTCATGTTTAATTATGGTACAATTACTTCTTTCATTATTATGGCTTGCTTATGAACGTCCATATGTTGATATGATAGCATATGAACGTTTAATTATACTTAAATGTCATATGAACAAATATTCATTTCTTTTTTCATTAAGTTATAATGTATTACTTGTACTTATATGTACAATGTATGCTGTACGAACGCGGAAAGTACCAGAAAATTTTAATGAAACAAAATTTATTGGTTTTACTTGTTATACAACATGTATACTTTGGTAAATAAGAAAAACTACAATATGATTTCGACTTTTTTGTTTATTATAGGTTAGCATTTCTTCCAATTTATTTTACAGCGCATGAGACAGGTCGTCATCAAGTAATGTATTTATGTAGAAAAATTAAAACTTTAAATCTTTTGTTTTTCGTTTTTCTTTACTAAGGTGCATATTGCAACATTATGTGTTACTTTATCATTATGTGCTACAGTAGCATTAGCTTGCCTATTTTCACCGAAAGTCTATATTATATTATTACATCCTGAAAAAAATATGCGTTTAACAAAACAATTAAGAGCCCAAGTTAATAGTTTGAAATTTGCTGCACAAATACCGGCAAAAACAGGTTTTATTTTAAATCATCATAAGAATACTAAAGAAATTATAAATAACGAAAGTCAATCAGCAACAACTTCTCCTGCTACTGAAGAAAAAAGTCAATCATTGATATCCAATCAACAAGTGATATTGCAAACATTTCTAATTAATGCGAAATACCGAAATAATAGTATAAAAAATAATAAAAAACGAAAATTGTCAACAACAAAAATAACAAGTCATTCAGATGGTTGTCTCATTGATGAACAACAAAAAATATTAATGAAGCGGCATATTTATAATGATAACGACAGTCTTAATTCCGATTCTTTACAAAATGAACAGATAGTGTTGCAAATAAAATAAATTATTTTTTTTTTTGTATTTGTTATTTTTTGCTTCAGGTTTTTTGTTTTGTCTAGTCATTGACAGAGAATGAAGATATAATAAAAAGAAATTATTCTAAATTAACAACGATTGATGCATCCGGCATTTCATGGTTCGGAAGTGATAGAACTGTTACATATAGTAAATACAAAAATAATTCAACACTGGTTATTTTCAATATTTTTTCCGCTGTCGTAAGCACGAGAAAGAATCAAAATAGTGATTCGTATAAAGAAAATGGTTTAAAACAAAAATATAAGGAAATAAAGATTATTATCAGATTCACAAAGGTACGAACTCAAGAAAACCAAATCCTCAGTTTTTCAAGACCTATAGTCCGTAAACATAATTATGGTTAGATTACGTAGAACGATAGAGTAAACAATGCTCTATAAAATGAGAGGTCTTCGAGTTTTCCGTCATCTATTTTTGGTTGAGATACAACAGTTTGATTGAAGGTCAAAAAAATGGTTTGTCTATAGGAAATTGGAAAAGAACGACCATAGGGATTTACGTGAGTTTGCTGTATCTTCATTAAAGAACTCAAAGACCTCATATTGTAAAGAGAATTGCTTGTTCTATCGTTCTGTGTAGTGTGAACAAAATTATATTTACTGCTCTAGGTACCAAAAATTTAGCCTTTCGATTTTTTGAAGGTCTTGTCTATGGAAACTTGATAGGAATTTCTATTTACTTATATTCCTTTTGGAAAGAATGTTCTCTATTCAAATCATTATTTGGATTCTTTTCAATGCTTACAGCAGCGAAACAAAATAAAAAATTAAACGAGTTGAATAATTTTGGTACCGACTGTAGATTGTATTCATTACTCTACAAATGAATTATTCTGTTTTTTTTTTCAATAGAATAATTAAAGACAATGTCACAAACTTGTGATAAAAACGGAATGCATGGAATATTACTATTTTATCTATTCATCAGAAAAGAGAATTTTTAATTTGAATCGTATATATGTCGTATCGAAGTTACACCGGTCGACGAAGTTATAACTTCGTCGATCGATATTGACGAAGTTACAACTTCGTCGTATAAACGTGACGAAGTTATAACTTCGACAGAGAAACTTGTCGAAGTTATTTTGAATTCACTTATCAATAAATAATTTATTGACCTGAGTATTCTACTGTTGAATATATGATCAAAAAATAAAATTTTTACTAATAAATATTAATTTTTGTAACAATATTGTGGAATAAATGAACATTTATTAG